TCAAAATCCAACCTTGGACAACCTAGTTCATAAATCCACAAATCCATTAAAACCTTCACTCTTTAAAGGTAATCTTTTAAATAAATATTGGTATACCACAACCAAAACCCATTTCCCCCTTTAATTTTCCCCTAAAAAACTAGTTTATTATGCCTCTCTTGGGAAACCTCCATGACATCATCTATAAACTGCAGAAAATCCGTGTTTTCACCAATCCCTCAGCAATATTCATCAAATTAAAAGTGCGGCTAGCTAGTCGACCGCCCTCATCATCGGCTGCCGGCCGAGGCAAGTCCCTAAACAGAAATGCCATAAAATTCATAAATTACAAGCTTCGCCACGCCCACAATTTGACCACAAAACTCCACAAACATCCACCGCCCCCTTCCCATCTAAGAGGTGGCGCCACAGATGTGCTGCTCATATGCTAATTGCAATGGACACGTTTTTGTTGGGTCGGTCGGGTCGGCGTGGACCGCAGAACACACACAGAGCTCACAGTCGAGTTAATTTCATTGCTGAATTGCGACTCAAGGGCAATATTAACATGAAAATTATGAACCTGCTGGGCAGGAGCTGGGGGGAATGCAGGCTGAGGGGTACTGGAGAGTCCTGGGGGTAAAGCAATGAAAAGTGACAGCCGCCGAAAGACTAAAAACTACTAAACCACTACATACATCCATTGCAACGATACTCACAACATAAACAGGCCACTAAAAACAAATTGCGAGTGGTATGGTCTTTTTTTTTTGTTTTGGGTTGGGGTACATCGCAATAGCCAGTGTCCAGTGTCCTGCGTCGGCTGTCCAGTGTCCTAGGGAATGGCCCCCAGCTTAGGCCCGGCACACAAAAACAAAGAAACCCATTTCTATTGGACGCAGAGGCCCTGGGTGCATGTGCGCCGAGCTGTCGGAACATTTCGCCGCAGCGATGCACTCTGCTCCCTCATCCCGGCCAGTCACTAGTTACCAGTTACCAGTAACCAGTGACCGGCAACCAGTGAACGGTGACCACTCCCATCCGTTGACAGCCACTGACCTGACCTGGCCCGTCGCTTGGCTACAAGTGTTGCTCGGAACCCAAGGAAAAACAATTGCTAGATTTACCGAAAAAGAAACTATTGGGTTGGATTCTGTTAGTTCATGACGCTAACGAAAACTAGACTTTGGAAATATTCATTTTCCAGGTAATTAAAACTAGTTAAAACTTTTCGGCAAAGTTTTGATTCTAAGCCAACACAAAATTTGGCCGCAACTTGGAGTTCGTTTTCGGCGAAAACTTAATTAGGCACAGATTCAATTCAAAATAAAAGTTAATCAAGCAATTACAATATAATTTCTTCATTTAATAGTTTAAGATTCAATAAATAGGTTAATGTTTTAATGTTAAGGATAATTAATATACATAATGCATTTTTTAGAATATCCAATTCCCAGCTAAAATATCATCTCTCTTGCCTCCATTTCCACCTTTCAGCCCCGCTGCTGTTCCTGCAGGACACTGCCTGTCAACTGGTATCGCTTGAATTGCATATTTTGCGGCGCTTAAACAACGAACACAATACCCCCAAGTTGGGGCCTCGACGGCAAAACAAAAAGCCAAAACCAAAAAACCAAAAAAATTGTGCAATTTTATATATTGCATGGCTCTATGATTTATGCCATCATCATAATAAATTCATGTGATTTATATGCGAAGCCTAAGGCGAGCCAGGCGATTCTAGTGTTTAGCTGCGGTAACTGTACAGGACTACTAGGACATAGGCCAGTTACCAAACACCAGTTACCCCTTTCCTCTTACCAGCTACTATCCATGTATCTGCCCGTTCAAATTGCCTTTTCACATTAATTGCAATCCAGAGGATACAAGGATATATCTGTGTGTGTGTGTACATAGGAAATTCATAACTTTTGACAGTTTTGGGTTGGCATTTGGCTTGTCCATTTGACAGTTTTAAAGTTGGCAAAACATTACGTCGGCCAGACTTTCGGGTCCAGTCTCCGGGGACAAGACGCATCCCGGCCCCCTCCACCGGGTGACGGGTGCCACCTGCAGTTTGTTGGCCCAAAGGCGCGGCAGACACTCTAGAGCCACTATAGAGCCACAATTGATTTCCATGCTGCCTGCCTGCCACTTGCCACGCGGCCGGGTGGCTATAAACTCGGTTCAAAAGTTTAGCCAACGATTGTGCCGTCTTGAGTCTGCAACTCGTGGCTTTCATCAAATTGAAAACTGGCCAAGACCCAAAAGTTTTGCTGCAAATTGGCTGTCAGGCATCCATCCTTCCACTAGCTGCGGCTCCTGTAACTGACGTGCCGCTTATGAATATGCAAATTGACAGGCGACAGTCGACAGATGCGTCAGGTGTGACGTCAGTCTCTAGTCTCCCTAGTTCATTAAACTTGGCCCTGGCAGGATGCGCAGGGTGCAGCATTTAATTAGCAAAACTAAAAAAGGCAGCCGGTCCTGTTCTGTCCGGAACGGCGTAAGTTTAATGAACTAGGATAAGATGAGATGGTGGCGTCCATACTCATAACCAAAATCAAAAGCAGGATCCACACAGGACACCCGGAACAAACCGCCCCCAAGGCGGTGTCTGCACAAATTAGCCAGCACAAGACGGCAAAAAGGATATGCGAAAGTGGTCAACAATTACACAAGGCCCGGTTCGAGGATTCGTGAAAAAGGCGAGATCTAGAAAGGCGGCTGGGAAATGGTTGAAATAGGAAGTGGCAAAAGGAGCCCTAGAATAAGCGGCAAACGACCTCAATGAATGACATTTAATTATTTCATCAAGAAAGCAAATAGCCGGAGGGCCAAACAATCAACTTTTCTCCAGCATAAGGCACAATACCTCGTTTCCTTGCTATTCTTTCTTATTTTCCATCCGACTCTGTATTTTCGGGTAATAATGGTGGACGCGAGGAGGGAGAACGTGTATCAACTACCAAAAAATATGCTGGTACTACAAATGGAGGCTTTTGGCCTTTAACGAAATTAACCAGATCGGAGGATGGTGTGACCTTTAAGCTTTAAACAGAAGAGGTTCTTTAGGTTCCAGGTTCTTCATTTAGGATATTGGTATTTCAGTTTCATTTCATATAACTTCAGTACTAAATCGTTTTCTACTTTTTTCATATTTGTCAAATGTTCTAATTCCATTGCTTTCAACTCCTTCTTGGTCTCAAGTTCCTTTGGAGTTCGTTATGATTTGATATTTTCCCTTTTGATATATTCCCTTTCTTATTATTCCCATCAATTGAAACCTTTAAGGTCCTACCCGTCCATCAATTAATCACTTCCTGCAAACAAACACAACCTGGTAGGAATGCAACGCTAATCGAGATGCGCCCACGGACACATGGGGTGGGGAGGGTGCTCTGTTTGGCCAACAAGTCCGAGATCTCCCCTAAGGGGTCTGCCGTCTGAAGCTCTCCCGTGCCTGCGACAATTACGCAAATTGTTGTTGTCATTATGTAAACACTTGTTTGTGTCAAATTTGACATTTGATAGGAGCGCACGCTGCTACCTTGGACTTCATCGCCTCCCAGGGGCCATCGTCCAGCCAGAGGCCAAGGAGGGGCGTGGCACAGTCGCGCAATATGTCAAACGGCAGGTGAGCCAGGACATGTCCATGTTACACTTGATTAAGTAGGCGCTGAGTTCGACGAAATGCTTTTTAGATGGACTTCCTCTGGACCGGAAAGGTGAGGCAGCGAGGGCCAAAGTGGTCAGGTGGGCGTTTGTCAGTGTGTGTGCGGTTCATTGTCGAGCTGACACGTTGGGTGGAGCATCGAGCAAGGACACACGCCATCGGGGTTCAGAGGACGTGCCAAATTATTGACAACACGGAGACGGACCTATGCCTTGGCTCTGAATGACTTCACAAGTGCGTCACCTTAGTGCTTTTGTATGTACATATGTGCTGGTTGATTAATTAGAGGCAGCTGCTCGACAGGCATGTATCCCTGTGTCCTTTCGGAACCTGGCGGGCGGAAAAAGGTCCCAGTCGGGGTGTCACAAGTCGAGGTTTGATGACCCGTAGCTGTGGCTGATTAACACCCGAGAACACAACACCCGAACAAGCATTTTAAAAGGGAATCCAATTTGTTTAGGCACAAATAAAATATACATAGAATCCTTTACTGCCTGGAGCTGGGCAATTAACCCACACTCTGATGCCCCTCGAAGTTGGCCAGGACATATAGAAAATCCATTTACAGTTGCCCCAATCCAATAAATAAATGAATTTAAGGAAACGTTCAAGGATTGCCAAGTGGAATGTCATCGTTTTCTCAGATTTTACGTCAGTGCTTAAACAATAAGAATTGTGCTTTTCCTCTGCGGCGGGAGCCCTAGTCCTTCCCGCACGCTCCTGTCCTCCGTGTCCTGTCCTCCGCCCTTTCAGCCATTGTGGCAGTGGCCACTGTAAATCTCGCCTTTCAACTGCTTACAATTTCCACAATGCAATTTCAATGCGTTTTATCGAATGCTTCTTGTCTGCCAAACGTCATACACATGTTCGTCCTGTTCCTTTTGCTCTTCTTTGTGTGTGTGTGTCTGCGCGTGTGTGTGTGTGTGCAAGTGTACTGTATCGAGTTGTTGCCATTTTGTTGCATACTTTTGTGCACGCTCATCGGCAAATTGAATTTATGCGCTGCAGGCAATGTGAAAAACTCTTGGAAAGAGCTGGGCAGGGACAGGCATTGATTTCGTCATGTCAGTGGCGAGGGATACATGGGGAACTGGTGGAGGACACAGAGGCAGGGAGGGACACTGGGGGCACCAAAGAGTGGCCAAAGGGGGAACTGACAGAATGCAGCGATTGTGAACACTGTATGCGCATAAAATCCTGTCGTTTTGGCACCACATCAACTGCTCCTCACACAAATTCCCATGCATATTACATTCGCCGGGGCTTCTGGGAGGAGCGGCAGGGCTAATTCCTCTGCCATCCGCGGATTGCCCTTCGGCAGCGAACTCCACAACACAGTACTTAGTTACATATACGAGTGCTTCTACCTCTGGCACGCTTTTTAATCAATCAGTGGCAATCAAAGGAATTTGCTTAAAACTAAAACCAATCGCGGATCACTCCTCGTCCTCTTCGGGCTCCACCGGTGCCCGCTTGGGTGTGGGCTTGCGCCTCGAGGGACCGCGGACGCGTGGCGGCTTCTTGGTGGTCGTGGACTTGGGTTTCGGGTTCTCCAGCTCATCCAACTCGGCGTCAGTCAGGCGATCCTTGTACCAGTCGGCGCTAAAACAGACGAAGATTAAATAAATGTAGAGATATGTATATAATCCCTACACTTACCACTCGGGCACTTTGCGGGCCCAGTCGCAGGTCTTGTTCTCCTCGTCGAAGACCTGGCCCAGCTTGCAACCGTTCCTCCGAGGCACATCTCCGTTTACACACACGTAGAAGAACTGGCAGTCATCCGGATCGGCGTAGCGCGGATGGGTGACAGCAATGCTCTCGTTCACCTTGGGGCATTCGAACTCGAAGATGTCCTCCGACTTGCAGCCGGTCACTCCGACCTCATCCGGCCAGGTGCAGATGCCGGTTTTGGGATTGAAGACCAGACCCGCCGGGCAGGTGATCATGTTGAACTGGCCATCGACGCAGAAGTAGAACTTGTCGCAGATTCCGGGCTTCTCGTGGCCAAAGTATCCGTTCTTGCGGGGACAGTGGAGTGACGGTTGTGGGGTTTCTGTCAAGTTAGTCGAATAATATGCAAAAATCAGAACTGGCAAGCGAAACAATTGCATAATCTGGCAGGTGTCCTTTTTCGTTGTGCACTTTCTGTTTCGGCAAATACCTTTTCTTTGCCCACAAAAAACCCTTTCAGCTCTTTGGTAAATATATTACGTGTCCTGGCAGCCAGCACAAATGCTCTATATACATTTATTCAGGAGCATATGTATACCTGCAGATGTGTGTGTGTGTAAGGACATGGCGTCATATGTCAACAGCAGACAAAGGTAATTGAAATTGCTAATGGCCCTGCACAATGTGAACTAATTGCTTTGATGGGTGGCCAAATAATTTATTTAAAAACTAAAAAGCACCGTAATATTTTATATTACTAAATTAAACAAATGGTTTTAGTTTATACTTGTATGTAGGAGCACACCTCTCCTCCGACTGGTTACCTACTTTTAAGTGAAAATCACTCTGGCCACTAGAATTTCTTGCCGGAGCTTAAATCGTTTTAGTGCCAGCCATTTATGCCAAAGGAGAAACTTTAATAAAGTATTCTGTTGGAAAGTTTGAAGGATGCTACACACACTTGGCACATTTCCGGGTATTCTCAGTAAGTTTAAAGCTGCGGGAAGCCAATTGCCGATGCTCGGGCTTAAAATTTCGATGGCGGTGTTGGCGTGGGGTGGAAAATCTAATAAAATCACGAATAAAACAAGTCTACTGAGAGGCAAGAAAAAAATAAAAACAAAGCACCTCAGCCCCAAGACCAAAGACCTATTGACGACAACAATTTGGGTTAACCGCCTCGCATGCCGTTTGCATAATAAATAAGTTACCAAAAATACAAAAAAAAAAATAAAACAGACAAAAAGACGGCCAAGAAGTAACGAGCAAATAAGTGCGGGCACGCAGCGCGTTTATGGGCTGATTTTGGCCAGAAGTTGGAGGAGGGTCTAAAGAGAAGTTTGGAAGACAGGAGCAGCTTTAAAAAAAAACGCGGAGCGTGAGATTCTCCAGCCACACGTTGTGTGGCGCGCATACGTAACGCGGCACTTACACCGCCCAAATTAAGCAGATTCGGCAGGATACTCACGTAGCTTGGACCGCTTGGTGCAGTCGATGTTGTACGGCAGATCGCACTTCTCCTCGATGGGCGAGTAATCGTTGAAGACCATGCCGTCGGCACACAGCCTTTCCGTGGGCACACCGTCTCTGTAATTTGCAGGTAAGTGGTTAGATCCCTAAAGGCTGCATTACTCATACGCCGTGTGTTCACTTACAGGCAGGCATAGTACTTGTCGCACTGTTTGCCGTCCGGATAGAATCCATTGGCCTCTGGGCACTCCTCTGACGGCTCGTACTCCTTCTCCGCCGCTGCCTGCTTGCGTTTGGGTGTCACCGAGGCCTCCTGGACGGGATCACGATTGCGGGGCGGCAGGTGACGCTGCGAGGGAGGATGACCGGGTCCAACGCGGAATTTTCCACGCTCCCTCTGCTCCTGGGCAAGGCTTCCTGTAAGAGCTATGGATAAATATTATTATCAAGATTAGTCAGCTTTTTAAAGCAAATGGAATACTTTAAACTGCATTTTATAAAAAGATTTTGAATATAATTTCATATTCTGTGATGAAATAATGTATTTATTAGAATATTCAATTTGAAACTGGCTCTCAGTTGCCCATTTCTAATTTATAAAGTGAAAAACTCAGTAGATTTTACGGAAAATGTTTGGTTTGATTATTAAAATCATGTTTTATTAAAAGCATACTACATTTTCTCGCTGTGCAACCGGCAGTTTTTGTTTCTTTATTATTTTTTTGTCCCAACTTTTCCACTTTGTTTGCAAGAAACCCGTTTCTCTGGGCTTAAACATACATATACCGTCTATATCTTGTATATAAGTTAGCGGCTTGCTCTGTTGCTGGATTGCGACACAGGCCAGTCGGTCGAATGACCTTAAAAGTGAAAGTCCCCCAGAGATTACAAACCTATAAGACCTATATAAATCACAAAAAACAGCTGTTTAAAGCCACTTCTGGTGGCTGGTGTTTAAAGTCAGCCTTGAACTGGGCCAAAAATCCATCGCCAATTGGCGGAAAACCAAGACAAAACCACCCGCTTCCGACATGAACAGAAAATGCATCCACCCAGCTCTCCTCAAGGTAAACCACTTCAATCAGGCATTGCAAATAAAAAATAAATAAAAATAAAGCAAAAAAAAAGGCAAACTGGCGAAGAAACAAGAAAAGACAATTTCAATTTTCAAGCCGCATGAACATCAACAATGCCAGCAAGTTGCTGATGCTGATGCTGACGTCGACTGGCTGACATTCGATTAAACGTTAATAAAGAAACAATTCCACAGAGCAATTAGTGCGTGAAGTGTCAGCCAACATTTAAGCCAACAACTACTACACTGTAGCAACAACAAGTTGTCGTTGTCGTTGTCGGTGTTGGTGTTGCTGTGTTGCTGTTACTGTTGCAGCTGTCGCTTGTCATTGAAACATGTTTCGTACACGAACCGGGACCTGGCGAAAAAAAATATGGGGGAACAAAAACAGCAACAAGAATCATGAAAAGAAAAAGTAGCTAAAGCTTCATAGTTGAGTTGGTAAATACTCTATAATTCCAGAAGAATACCATACTTTTATGGCTTAAAAGGTGACAGTCTTTTCCATGTTTGGTTGCAGTATATCCTTTAGAGACCTTTTTTTTTAAGTTTCCTTTAAGAGAATTCCTAGTTCGACCTCCTAACTATGCTAGATGTCCTTTTATTTTTATGGGCTCTGTTTCTTTTTTGGCAGCCGGGCGGAGTGTGTCAAGCCGGGCGTCGCAGAGCGTGGTCTATGCGGTTTGGACCCAGGGTTCAGCATTGGGCCCGAGTTGCTGCTGACTTGGACCGGGCCGTCGCACTGACAGTCTGTCAACAAGTTTGTCATAGAGTCGGCCCGGCTCGGTTGTCAACAGACCCGGCCCCGGACCGTTTGACTCGGTTCCCAGTCCGGTTAAACTAGATTAATTGACTGCCTATGACGGTGTCCCCGGCAGGTCTCAGCCCCCTCTCTCGAATAGTAGCTGTGATGCTGAACTTTTTATGCCCCGTTTCGGTTTTTCGGGCTTTTTCGATTTTGGATTTCAGATGCGAGTCACACACGGAGGCGTTGTGGGTGCCGGCGTTGGTGCTTGGGAATCATCTTGGGAAAGTGCGTGCATGCCGAGTTCAATGAACATTAAATAGATTAAAAATAAACATACTGGAGCACACCGATTTGATTTTTTTCAAGTCATTCATTGAACTGAGCCGAGATTGATAATAGACACGATTCAACGCCCCGTGAATTGTGAAATTGGTTGTATGAAGTTCTCCCCAAAAAAAAAGGTGTTGTTGGCTTCGGGGGCGCCGAGAAAGCCAAATAAATTATAAACTCTTTGGGCACACATGCTCGCAATCAAATTAAAAGTTTGCCATTGTTTGAACGGGCTCAAGAGACGTTTTTTTCCCTCAATTAACTGAAAATTTAATTTATGCCATATATGTGCGAATATTTGGAGGACTGTGAAAAGCGAATTGAAATACATTTAATTATGAGCGGATGGTGATGCTCTAGGCTCTCATTTTCAGTGTGTTTTCATGGCCATTTTAATATAATTACAAATATTCGGCATACGTATTCAACAGTTGCTTGAATATCAATTTTGGTGTTTTATTCCGGCGGGCGAGTTAACAATATGCAATTTTAATGTTTCGCATATTTTTGGCACCGGAGAGACAAACAAATTTTTAATGAGCTTTCACACAATAAATGAGCAGAAAATTTGCCACAAAATTAAATTGCTGAATTTTCAATTGTACATACTACTAGCGACTAGTGGCAATTGCAATCGAAATAACAACCAAAGCCCAATTCCGAATGCCGAAAACCAGAAACCAAAACCAAAGTTATGCAAATTGCAGACAACAACAGATGCTACTACAACAAGTGTGACAATGCCCACGATGGATGCCATAGAGCAGCAATGTCCACTACTATACGAGGCTACGAGTATATTCGTATGTTTGGCATTTACACGTGTATTCTGCCATCGAAATCGGACAACAGTTGACATCATGATACGGAATGATGATGGGATGGCCCATGGCCCATGTCCTGGCCCGGTCACTGCAGATATGCATAAACATGGACATGGCAAATAATGTTAACAACAATATTTTTCAGCTTAGTTGCCGCTCTCAGCCGCTCGCAAAAAGTTGCAACATTTGCATATCGTTGGCAGGGCCATTTGTTGGTCCGTCGTTGGTTTGTTATTTGCATTATTGTTTGTTTGTTTCATTGTTTGTTTGACTGCGGCGAACAATTAGATGGCGATTGTTTGACGACGCGAGCAGAGCATTAAAGTCAGGGCATATTATTCAAATGGAGTTTGTTTATGTCCACATACGGGCAAACCCCGCCAGCCAACCATTCAACCAGCCAGCCAACCATCCAGCCGTGGTATTGACGTATCATTAATTGGGAAATGCAATTAAGAGCTTTTTCCACACTTACCCACGGCCAAAGCCAAAGCAAATATGCAAATTTTCACAAACGCCATTTCGTTAGCCGACATCAACCTGCACGTACAGATAGATTATTATTTTAAATATCGCAAATTAATATTCTTTCCGGCACTTTAAGCTCATTCCAGGGTCCACTTTATTATTTCACTTGATCGGATTGATTGTACACTGCGACAAATCCGGACTCACCAGTCTTTAGGGTATCAATGCGCACGCGTCTATATCTTAAGCTTGACTGTCCGATCGAGTCGTGTGGGGATTGGGTTTTAACGCCCCAAAGCTTTTTTCACCTGACAGCTTTCGAAAAACTGCATCAAGATGGTGGCGCATGCGCAGTTGAGAGAGAACCGGTCGAAGCTTCTTAGAAAGCTTTCCACAAAAAACTCGGCCTGTAAAATTGTCAAAATCTCAGTATTAACCCACTAAGGGTTTATTCCTTTAAAAGGATACACATATCATTTGTACACATTTTTGCCTCCAATTTTCCGAGAATAGTCATCTCTCGCTAAGTCTACTTCTTGGCCAATACCTTTAATAATTCCAAGATGAATTCCCATTCATTATCATTAAAATCTAAGAACGAAACACTTATTTAAATATTTTTGAAGGAATATAGCAACTTACGCATCTTAACCGATTATCCTACCCCCCGTTTTGTCCTTCAAAAAATTTAATTAGGGCTTATATTTGTAAAGTTTATTATTTGTAAAATTTTCAACAAAGTGTAAGATAAAGTACATGAAATACAAACAATGCTGAAAACATCAAATGTGGAAAATTTTAACTCCAACTTGGCACAACATGACGCAACTATGTTTGAAAGTAGCATCAACAATGTGAGTTAGTGGCAAACAAATGAGAGGCTGTGCCACAGAAAACAGGAGGATCGACAGGAGTGTAGCGCTATCCAACCAGGAGGAAAACGACAGGACAAACAGGACCCGCCCATGATATTTTACCCGCACAATGTTGTAACGAGGACATCGCCACACGAACTCTGATGGCAAATTTGTCAAAAAGGCGACAGGACGTGCTTCGTTTCGCCCCTATCCGTTCCGGACGGGCATCGATGATTTGCATTTTTGAAATTAACCAAAAAATATGACAAAATGTCGGACACAAGTTTGTGCCTTCAGGCTACCTGCTGGTGGCATTCACGTCCTAGTCCTAAATATTCCCGCTGGGCGTTTGCTGCATCATTGTGCAGGCAGAAAACACATTTAACATGCCAGGACCCCGGCTAGCTCCTTGGCTCCTTGGAGTCGACTTTTCCCGGAGCTTGTTTCCAGCTCCTTGGTTTTCATTTGCCTGTCATTTTGTGTGCAATAATTGTGACAAATTGTTCTTTTCTGCTAAATTTTGCAGGCAACTGCGCCTCCGCCCTCCGGATGTTAGGATGTTGGGATGGCAGGATGCTAGGATGTTAGGTGGCATGTCAGGAGTTTGAAATTTGAGCAAGATTTTTGGGGGAAAACTTATGGCAGCTTTGTATGCAAAGTAAATGGCATAATTAAGTGAAATGACATACACGACGATACATTTAACAAATGTTGCGTTGCAAATGCAAATGCCGAAATCTCGGTGCCGAGGGGAACAAATGGTTCCAATTCATAATCCTGCGATAAGTCGGAAAAATAGCATCCTTATTTGCGATTGCCTGCGCCCGGCCGTTTAAGCTTTAAAATAATGTTACAGACCCCAGGAGAGTCCCCCGCAGCTGGAGCTTAATAGCTGGTCCGCAGAGCCGCAGGGTTGGCGGGGTGGGGCTTGGGTCGAAAAATCATGCCCCAAAGTGGTCCGGGGAGCGGGAAATGGAAATCGCTTAGCACAATTTCGGCCGCATTAGCGGCGATTACACAAGCGCCCACACAAAATGGAGAATTGGGAAAGGCGAGTTCAGAATGCCGAATGCACAATGCAAGGCAACAATGGCATAACAATCAAGAGTCAAATTAAAACGTTGCGCTTGCAGAAATTCCCCTTTTTTGTTCTCAGGTCCGAGGCGAGTCCTAGAGTCCTTTGCGCTCTTCGCGCTCCACTGACGGTTCGCTGTCCGCCCATTGTCCTTGGTCCGAAGGCTTAGTGGTGCAAAGTATGCGGTGGCAAGTTCCCAAGTACCCTACTAGCTGACTGCTGACTGCGGTCGGAAACTTTACCAAAAGCTAATCATAATTTCTTGCTGATAGTTTTCCCAAGCCCTTGTGCACGGATCCACGTCCTCTTCCATCCGAAAACCAGCTTGCACTTTTTATCTATCCATATCCTGTCCGCGTCCTGTCCTGGCCTGGCCCGGGTCCCTTCGCTTTATTATTATTTTCAATTCCTGTGAACCGCAGCGCCCTAAGCGCCACGTTATTGTCGTATAATTGAATATAATGGCCATGGAAATGACGCTGCCAATGGGGATCCGTCTCCAGGGGGTATTATTCGGCATTGCTAAGATGGGGCTGGGCTCCTACGCAAAATTCTGCTCCCCATTGTATTAGCCGGTGATTATCAGCCAGCTTTCAGCTGTCCCTGCAACAAAACATCTGCCCATGGGGTAACTGCATGTGATTGGAATTTCACTTGCCACAAAAGCCCATTCTGGTATTCAAAGTAACCAACAGGAGTCAGTTATTGAATAATATATTTGGGTTAAAGGATTTTTTAATAATTTGATTAGATAAAAGTGGAATTTAAAACTTAAATAGCTAAAAGCTTTAAAAACTCTTTTTTAAAAAATATTTAATAAACACCATAATCAGTTTTATTCAGTTAACACGATGAGAAATTAAATTGAATTAAATTCAAACTAACAAAACTGACAAGCAGGACGGCGGCCTCGATTCGATCGGAATTAAGTATGCAATGATTTATATCATAATCCTGTCACATGCTTTACCGATTCAATACACAAAGTGCCGAGGGCCAAACCGCGACCATGGCTCTGGGATCCTGCCTGTTTGTTTCCCCCCGCCTTTCGTCCTTCGTCCTACGTCCCACGTCCTGTCGCCTGTCGTCGTCATCTGCCTGTCAGCGAGTCATTTTGCCGATTTTGAATTGTCAGTGCCATGCCACACGTGTCACGTGCGTCATTGGACCGCCATTACATGGCACCAGCCTGGTCCTCTCATCCTGTTGTTTCTGCGCCTCCCCCTTTTTCCACTTTACGGTGCAAGACCACCCCCCTCCGGGTTTTACCCGCCCCGTTTTTAATTAATGAGCAACAACAACGGAGCATCGGAGCCATGGTGCAGAGGGCGGTGGCATGCCACTTGAAATCTGGTGGCCCCGCGATAACTGAAAATCTGAAACTAAGCCTCTGTTTGGTCGTGTTTGCTATTCATTTGCTGTCCGCTGGGCCATTTTAGTTGGGCATCAGCATTTTTAATTGGGATTATACATTGTTTGGTTTACATAAGTAGTTGCCCTCGAATGGCAAATGTTTCCCTGCATTCGATTGAATGTTTTTCGAAAAGGACCTCCCTCGCCACAACCGCAAAGCAGATCGGATCGAATACCTTTCAGTGACACACAAGATAATGGAGTACCTGAATGGCAGGATTAAAGACAGATCACAATGCTGTGTCCTGATCTCCAATCCTGGGATTCAAAGTCTCCATCTTAAGCGGGTCACCTCCTTTCTCTTATCCTGAATTTGACCATGTTGCGGAAATCCGTTGACCTCCAAACGTGCTGGCGTTTCAGATCCTGCATCCTGGCGGGCATGTAGGCGAAGAAGGTGTCCTTGATGTGTCCGCCCAGGTGGGAGTAGCCGCGCAGGGCCAGCCAGGTGAGGCGAGACTGCTCCAATGCCAACTGGTTAAGATTTTCGTGGTAGTCGGCCTTCATACGCTTGGCCTGGCACATAAATTCCTGGACACGGTGATAGCTGACATAGCCCCCGCTGCCCATAACCATCATTTCCTTCTTCAGGTTCAGATCATTCGTTTGGTTTCGCCCGTCGCCCTGGTAGATGCTCTCGTAGATGCGGAACGCCCCCTTCACCACCGCATGCATCTCCTCCCGCGAGAAGGTCTTGCCATATCGATCCGCCACCCAATCGATTAGCACTGGCAGCTTGTGGGCATTGGGGAATGTGGCCAGGACGTAGTGCGGATTGTGGGACAGGACCTCCAGGGCGACCTTCAATAGCTTCTCGATTTGCTGCTTGTTGTTCGGATCGATTAGCTCCACAGCGGCGTCCTCTATTGACAAGGCCTTTCGCGTTCCTCGGGCCACCTCGTCGATGTAGGCGCGGAACGTGTCCACGGCACAATTGGCGGCTGCCCTCAAAACCGGCGGAAGGGTGCTATCCCGGGAACACTCCTTCCCCACCTTGGTATTGCCCTCATTCAAGGCGGAAATACAACAGTCCTCAATCAATGGTTGCTTATCCTCTAGATCGGGCAGCTCGTCCTCCCAAGGGAGATGCTGCACCGGAATACCCGGCACTTTGAATATTTTTTCGTAATCAAAAGCAAGCTCTCCCATGTTCTGGGTGACGAACACGTCCTCATCATCCGGTTTCTCTACTTTCTTCCTTTTGGGCCAGGGCAATGTCTTAGAACAATGGGGAATGAGGTCGGCTAGTTTTGGAAAGTGATCTTTCTTGGGCACTGCCTCTTCTGGGAGAGTAATGGTTGCCTTTTGAATTTCACCTTTGCCAGTATCTTGGGGTTTGTTCTTGGGGCGACCTTTTGATTTCTTTCTCTTGGGCTTTTTTTTGTTAGAATTCTTTTTGGACCTAGACCTCGAGCTTGACCTTGACCTTGACCTTCTGCTAGACCTTAAAGTGCTACGGGATGATTTCACATTCTTGTTCACGTCTTTCTCGATGACATTAACCTTTTTGGGAGTCTCACCCAAAGAATCTGCAGGAATGAATTGACAGTCCCCAGTTTTGGCCAGGTTCTTATCATTGTTGATGAGCATTACTTTGAAAAATCATTCGGAATGGTGGGATAGGTATGAACTTTCGGAGCAGCTTCGTCTCCGAGACCCAATAGCATGGAAAGATTGGCCTTTTTGTTGATCTTTGCTGTGGGGACTCTGACGTCGTGATTGCATAGAAGACACTCCCCGTTGAATTCGCTAAGAGTCTTCGCCTGGGTACGTAATCTCATAGAGTCCCCACGGATCCGATCAGCTGCATAATCTATATCCTTCTCTATCTGCTTGACAATTCGCTTCCGACGGGCCTTCAGCTCCGCCCCGGGAATATCCAGCTTGGAGAGACACCGCTGCAGAACCTTGTGGACATTCTTCTGACGCTCCGCAGTGGCGACATCCTCAATGAACTGATGGGTCTCGCACAGAGGGCTGTGCTTCTGTGCGGTCTTGCGGATTAAGGCGGGATCGAGGGTCAGCCTATTGAGCTCATCTTCGAGCAGCTTTTTGATAATCCTTTTCGCGGGGCACAACTTATACTGGGAGAACCAGCGTGAGTCCTCATTGGGGATTTTCTCCGTCCCGTTCAAATACTTTTCGTACTCCGGAAACTGTAACTTGTCCATGTAGGGTCGACTCTTTCCCTTCGGCTTATACAGACGGGGCTGCACCTGCGGGGCAAAGTAGGGCGAGGCGTACTCTTTCTTCTTCGGACGGTGGAGCCTGACCGAGCTCTTCTGCGGCTCAATTTTCTGATGAAATTTCGTCGATTGGGAAGGCGGTGGAAGTAGGGAGTCCAGGGCCAGCAGTGTGGCCGGCATGTCTAGGTAGGCAATCCCTGATAGAAGCAGCTGCTCGTTGACCGAGTAGGGCGTCGGTTCGGGGTCATGTTCCGTGCGTGGCTTCTTGTAAGCCGACTCCCATAGAAACCATAGGAAGGCCAGGTCGTTGCCTTGGCTGATCGTCATTATGTCCCTAATATGGCAGGACTTGACCATAGGATGAAGTCCCAACTGGCTGATGCAGCGACGTACACGGTATGTGGACTCCTGCTCCATGTCGTCCCGCAGAGCGTGGAGGAGCCGGTCGCAGGCTCCGGTCTGAACTAGAGACATTCCGCGATACCATTGAACACTCTCGCTATCAGCAAAGAATCCCAGCTCCGCTCCAGACATTTCAAGTTTATTTTCTGAAATTATTTTTTTTTATTTTTAAATTTTTTTATAATTTTAACAGCTTACTTGAAATTTTTTTTGTAAAGTGATTTTGCCAAGGATTTTTATTATTAGTTCTTGATCCTGTTTTATCCACTCCATCTCCTCAATCAGATTGACTGATTTCTTAAAAGATTGTTTTCCGTTGAAGACAAAAATAGAAACCCTTCCGGAGAATCATTTGCTTTCAACCTTCCTGGACTTTACTCGCCGTCCGTCTGGTTTTTGTCCTCAGGTGTCCTTTGGGGTAGTTGGGAATCAAGGCATTGAAACAAATGTTAATTACTTTATGGGGAAACAAATGCCATCAAGGACTACAGACCGAATCAAAAGCCCTTTGCGTTTTAAAACGAAATTTAATTCAATTACGCAGCTAAACTGCCCAGCAGAATGTGATAACCGCAAACGCAGGGCGGCTATAAAGTCAGGGCGGTGTGGGCGTGGTCCGGACTCGGTTGGCCAAGAAGCTGAAGGCGGGGCATGATTGCGTTTTGTTGCATTTGTAGCTCTTTGGCTGTCGTTTGTAATTGTCCGTACTTAAAAACTCATCAGACAAAACGACAATGCGGCAAACGGTCTGGCTGGCTGGCGATTCTCTGTCCCGGAATGGAATCTGAGCCGGGCCAGCAGTCGGCAGGACCTGCGAGTTAAGGACAGTTTTATCAACTGCACGACAAATATTGTTGCATGCCCCCAGGCGCAATAAGGCGGACCAAAAACTCTCGAAACTGAAAACTCGAAACAGTTGCGTGCTGGCTGTTTAGTTTTGCGGCCACTCTATGTAAAATGGCCAGCAGCTCCATGTTTGTCTAGTTGTGCAACAACAAGTGGGCTAAAAGTGTGGCAAACTGACAGCAGCGATCCGGGCGAGATATCACTGGCCCGAAAGCCCCCATAGCCCCCATAGCCCCCATATATATATCAAGCGGTCCTTGTCGAGTATTTAATCAGCACTACAAACGGCGGCGACGATGGTTTCCATCTGCAGTTCCCTGCCACTCTGCCACACTGCCACTTGGTGGCAATTAGTTGCATTGTGGTGGTACAACGCCGGGTACAGTTTGCATATAAATAAGGCGACGAAACTCTCGTAATGCCCCCAATGAAGTTAGCCGCCCGTTTTTGGGTGTCCATCTGGCGCATCTGCGTCGTGAGACGCATTTTGCATTTTTAATGCCGACAAAATCTATGCAATTATGAATTTAATGGGCACGCTGGCGAGTATTCGTTTTTAAGTGGCGTAAAATGAAGTGCCCATCCCCTAGGATTGTGGAAAGTCCTGTCAGAAGGACAAGAATTCTTCTTTAATTTGTGTGGTTGTTGGCAAGGAAAACATTTGCTCGTCACCAAGGATGGGGTATTGCAATCCCTCAACAAGTCCTTTCGGTAACCAATTTTTCAGCTTACAGGAGAGCTTTACTGTTCTACACTGAAAAAACTGAAGAATCAAAAATTTCTTTGAATACAAAAATAAATCAAAAAGTGTCAATGTTCTAATAAACTTTGGAGGTCCTTTTATTTTCTGACACAAATATAATAAACTATTTATTTAAATTTATTTTCTACAGTTTTCACTAAAACCCGCCGCAGTAAAGGATTTGGATTTTCATTTGGTTTCAAAGAAGAAAAGTCCTCGGACCTCACTCTCCCCCTTGAGGTCGGAATCAATTTTTTCAATTTTATTTTCGTAAAATAAAGGATAAAGGATGTGCCGGCCACAAAGCGGCCAACTTCAGGCCAATCATACGAAACTTCACAGAGGATTGTCACTGTCAAAAATGGGTCCAAGCCCCCTCCTGCTATGGCCTCCTGCCAATCCTCCTGCTCAGCCATCCTCCTATCCAGCGGTTGCGGACCGGACTAAATGCACGTGGACTAGACCGGAGGAGCGCCTGGAACTATGCTTTGAACTTAATTAGCTGCACATTACGAATTTTTACTGCCAGAGTTGGTTGGTTGCTGCAGTCGGTCGGCCCGGTCCGTTGGGAAGGTACTTACCACTTCCTTTGGCCATTTTACGGCAGGACTAATTTTTGTTTTCGACAACGTTGCTAACAGTAAAGGCTTGTCGCAGCACAGGAGTAGGGGGGGGGACATCACACAAAAAAAAAAAAGGAGCCGGAAACCAGGAGGGAAGCGAAGCGAAGGGGCTGCGGGTAGGAAATGTCATGGACTGCGTCCTCGACGGCAAAGGAAATGTTGCCGAGATTAAATGCACTGCAACGACCATGGGGCAAAAATGCAGGAGAGAAAGGTGGTCCAGGTGTGATTATGCTGTAACTCCCTACCCCTGTCCTTGCTCCTGCCACGGCCCCGGGTCCTATTCCGCCCCATTCCAATGCCATTCCATCCAACTTCCGAGGCTTTGTCTTGCGTGTTGGCGGTGGCTTAATAAGCGCAATGAATTTATGCAGCTCACAAATTTTACCAAACTCGACAGGGCTTTTCCCCCACTTTAAATACTTTATCAGCCCAATCCAGTGATTAAGCCAAAACTACTTATTTAAAGGGATCAGCTCAGAAGTTGTGAGGTCTGTCCGTCACCGATACCCGGAATTAAACAATTAACCCAGATAGCACGGCCTAATGGCTGTCGAACAATGGACCCTGAAATTTAAGTTCATAATTACCGCCCTTCACCTGGATAGACAGACACAACACAGTTCGAGTCTTAAATCCTTGGACCTCCAGGCGAACGGATAACACAGGACTAAACCAAAGTGAAAGGAACAGAACCCATCATAAAGCGATAAGCACTTTGGCAGGGGCGGGGGTGAGAAAGCTAAGGGAAGGGCCAGGGGGCTGGCAAAGTGAAAATATGTTTGTAAACGATGAACTTCAAGTGGCTGTTAGTAAATATAGAGCAGCAAGTGAACTGAACACCGAACACCAAACGCCCAGAGTCCTTGGATCCTTGGCTTCTTCGACTGACTCTTGGGCGGCACCAAAGTCTGAGAGAATATCGAATCCACAAAGCGACCACTGGCACAGATAACACAGTAAACTATACACTAAAAAAAATATAGATAATGGTATGTGACCTAGTTGATACTCATAAGAACTGAGTGTACATGTCACGGTCGCCACAATATACTTAAGTCTCATGAAGTATTTATATTTCCCACAAAAGGGGTCTTTTTAAGAGGACTCCATATAGTAATAAAATAAAATATATTTAAAATATCTAATAAAATAAGAACCTACTCGTTTTTAGCCATTTTAAATCATATTATGTCATCCTTTGACTCATATTAGTCATGTTAACTCATATGAAGCTCATATTTTTAAAATTATAGGAAAAGTTACTCTGAGGTGTAAAGATGTCAATATTTTTGAAAAGTGCACCCGTAGACACAAGTTAACACGGCACATACTCCGTATCAGCGGGCTGGGCTGCAAAGTCGAGAAGCTTTACCATCGCCCCGGGCTGTCCAACTCCCCAAGAATATTCCACAACTCATCATTGCCCGGGCACAAAACTCCGTAGCACACAGCACACCTCTGGCACGTGCCACCGCATCCCGATTCCGCCCGCAATTTCTGGCCCGGATCCGGAAAAAAGGACCAAAAACAACAACAACAGCAACAAACAAAAAGTGCAACCACAACAACTGCAAAAAAAACAAGAAAAGGGAAAGGAGAGCGGGAAAACTCGTAAAGAAGCATAAAAGAATGAGCCGTACAGAAGCAAAAAACTATTTGAAGTCGGTATATCCGTTTAGGAAGCCAACAACTTCCCGTTACATAAGTAGTGGTAACCAAAACCACCCAAACACACACACACACACACATATCCTTGCAGGATACAAGTAGCACCCGTGAAGAAGTAAACTTATACCGAGGCCGTGCGAGAAAGGCTTTTTGCCTTTTCCCAGTCCGCAGTCCACAGTCCCGTGTCCCGATCCGAGTTCCACTTCCAGTCTCCCCGTTTTATACCCATTTTCTCGAGAAGCTTTTCATAGACGCTCAGCTCGAGCTGCACTTGTCGTAACCCCCTCTTGACTTTTTTTTTTTTAGCATTTCATAAGCCCCTGCGCTCCGTCCTCTTGAAGTTTTCATAACAAATAAGAAGGGCTCGATACTTGGAGTACTACATAGTCGAAAAGTTGAGCTCGCCAGTCTCAAAGGCCTCCAGCCTCCAGCCAGATAAAATGCAAAGCTTTTGAGCGCTCCAAACTTAATAAAAAATCCTTCGCGTAGCTATTCCTTTGGCTTTCTCGTAGTTTTTTGGTAGTTCAATGTCAGACGTGAAATGCGCCTTGGAATGGGCGAAAATAATTTCTTAACACATCCCTACAAAGGCCCCTTGAACACAATAAGTAATAAGGAGCCGTGATCATTTTTTAAGCCTTTTTTTTTATTAGTTATCAGACTTTGTTAAGAAACTTGGCTTTTGCATAATTTTCTACGCAAACTTTTACTTTGGACAGTGGCCGACAAAAAAGCGCAATCTTTTTCACAGATTTTTGATTAAAATATTCATGGATGGCTAGATTGCCAAAAGGTGCAAGTGGCAAGTTTGTAATTTTAATTAATCCCCCGCTTAAATGGAAACTTTCGAGGCATTGTGGCCATGAAATATGGTTCAGCCAGGACATGTCCAAGCATTCGGTTGTTTTGATTTATGTGGCGGGAGGGTCAGGAAAGGACTTCAAACTATAATACTATCGCTGGGACTATCTCGGAAGGGATCAGCCACGAGCACGTTCTTGGAGTTTTTGCTTTAGCAGGGGTGTGGGTCATAGGGAGGGCGGTGGGTATGTGGCAAACATTTATTTCATTGTCGAATCGCACGTTCATTGGATGGTGTGGCAGCCAGTGGCCGTAAGCAGCATTCAAAGCATTTCGCACCACATATTCCTTTTGACACCAGCTTTAATATTTATGGCCCAAAAGCAGTAGCAGCCATGGACGTAGCTCGAACCCCCCTTCCTTGCCGCAGTTTCTTCTCGGGTAAGTGAGGGGGCA